GGGGGGCCTCGGGTGAGTTTCGTATGGTTAACGGATTGAAAATTTGGACTTAGGAAAATCTAGAAATTTTGCTTATGGTGTAACCGTAACTGCGAAGCTTTGATTGCATGTGCGACACCGCAGGCACGCAAGGGCCATCGCAGAAGCGGCCAAGGCTGGGGAGGAAGAAGGTCGCAGGTGCGAAGAGTTTTCCGCACCTGCGTGGTCGCAGGTGCGGTGAGAGGCTCGCAGAAGCGCAACCTGCAGGTGCAGAATTTTTTAGCACAGGTGCGCGGGTCGGGGACTTGGCATGGCTTCCGCAGAAGCGGTTCCGCAGGTGCGAATAGGGGGTCACAAGTGCGAAAAGCCTGGACAGAATGTTAAAAATAAGGTCCGTAATTTTGACTTCATTTCTAACATTTCCAACACGGTTTTGGGTGATTTTTCAGAGAAAATGAAAAACTTAAGGTAAGTTACTTGTGATCATTGTTAGTCAATAATATTGGATTATCATTGAGTATTTCGACTAGATAACATATTTTTGAGGTGAAATTAGAGGATTTGGGCCTACGGATTTCAAAATAAGAATTTGAGATTTGGAGGTCGAGTTGATGTCGGAATTTGGTAAATTTGGTATGGTTGGACTCGCGGTTGAATGAGAATTAATATTTTATAACTTTTGTCGGATTCCAAAACATGGGCCCCACGGGCGATTTTTGAGATAAGTTTCAGATTTTTGTTGAAAAATTTGTATTTTCATATCGAATTTATTCTTATAATTTTTTATTGACTGAATCAAATTAATTATGACTAGATTCGAGCCGATCGGAGTGAGAAAATCGAGAAAAAGGTATACTACTTGACTGATTGAGCGTGGTTCGAGGTAAGTGGCTTGTCTAACCCTGTGTGGAGGAACTCCCCTTAGGATTTGTTACTGTTGTAACATTTTGTGATATGTGAGCGCCGTGTACGCGAGGTGACCAATGCGTACACGGCTAAATTTGGAAATATCGGTTCTTGTTGAGTAGTCTTCTTTTAAATTCTTTAACTGAGTTGTCTTAGTATATGTAGTGAACATGTTTAGCCTAGTATCACATATCTATGTATCTTAACTCTTACATACAATATGTGCAACATTCTTAGCTGAATTACTTGCTTTCCTTGATTTGATTTAAATCATTAACTGTAAGATTTCTTGCTGAAAATTTGTTGTTCCTCCGACTACCTACTGCATATTTACTTTTGGGACTACGAGACAGTTCCTCGGGAGATCTCTTGTACTGCATATTTACTTTTGGAACTACGAGGCGGTACCTCGGGAGCGCCCCTGTCGTTTACCTCTAATTGTTAAGTTATCTTTCTGTAAATTTCGTTTATTTCTCGGTCACTTCATTACCCTATTATAAATTTTTGCCTTATTTTGTTATTTATTTATTTATTTATTTATTTATTATTATTATTATTATTATTATTATTATTATTATTATTATTATTATTATTATTATTATTATTATTATTATTATTATTTTCATTAGGGCCTGACCTGACCTGACCTTACCTCGTCACTACTCTACCGAGGTTTGGCTTGGCACTTACTAGGTACCACTGTGGTGTACTCATACTATGCTTTTGCACATCTTTTGGTGCAGATCCAGGTACATCCTATCAGACCAAGTATCAGTGAACTAGCTGTACACGGAGACTTCAAGGTACATCTACCAGCGTCCCGCAGACCTCGAAGTCCCCCTCTATCGTTATTATGTTGTCTTCCTGATTTCTCTTTAGATTTTAATGTATTGAGACACTCAAAATAAATTCTTAGAAACTTGTGACTTATTTCTACCCGATTTTGGGAGTTGAAATTATTGGATTGCAGTTTTATATTTATTCCATATGTTGAGAATTTGGCTTCAGTTTTATTTTATGTATTTCCACAAAAATTGTTAGGCTTACCTAGTCTTAGATACTAGGTGCCATCACGACATCCTATGGAGGATGAATTTGGGATCGTGACAAACCCTTGGTGGTGTCCACCGAGTATTTGGCCAAGCTTCTAGAAGAAACAAAAGTGGTTTTTAGGAGAAGTAGAAAAAATTAGCTTCTCCCCAAAAATACTTTTGAGAAAAATACACTTAAAATGTTGGTCAAACATTAATTGCTGCTTAGACGTACTTTTTAAAATAATTAGTCAAACACAAACTGCTTCTCACCTAAAATAATTTGAGAAAAAGCACTCTTGAAAAAAAAAATACTTATCAAAATAAGTTAATTTTAGAAATTTGGCCAAACAAACTATTAATATAGTCCCATAAGTGAAATTTATAGAGGACTTTTATGCAGTTAAAAAGGCTATTTCGGATAGACTTTCCTTAATCTCTAACTTGCTATTGTTAGTGACAATATGGTACACCATATTGTTGGAATCATGGTTGCCCCTAAAGGAGAAACAGCCAAAACTTGGTTTATAGAAACGTGCATATTCTAGTTTTTTTTGCCTCAAAGGTAAACATTTCTCGAGGCTGGGGTGGGAACTTAATGGTTATGTTGTTGTCTTATTTTGGAAACTTTAGCCATAAAATTCGGGAAGAATGAAAAGATTGTGGTTAAGTAGAAAAGCTCGATTCAGGATTCAAATCTATGGATTTAGTCTTTAAAATTTTTATTATTGACACATTGTATTTTTTAAAGTTATGGGTTCATATATATTATTGTATTTATTGTAATTTTAATAAATTTTATATATAAATTCATACACCGCATTAAAAGTTATGGCCGTTAAGTTTGAATCCGGTACGCCCCGCTTAAGTAGATAAATAAATTTTCTATTACTTACAAGTATGAAGAAGCAAACGCGTTTATGTTCACATGCTTGCTTATAGTCATTTAAATTTGGATTGAGCACACATCTTTATCTTTTACGAACATTTCGTGCTATGTGCCTTATTTTTCTAGGTACAGTGGCACATTCTTCTCATTTTCATTGACCACAGTAAATTAAACAAAAAACGACAAATGCCGTTTATATTTGCTCGTAATTTTACACTAATGTTGACATTTGCAGACAAAGACGTGTCAGTCTAAAAATTTTACTTACTTTCCTACGTGCTAACTAGTCTATACACGCGTTACGCGTGGACATATATCAAAAAGTATGAAATTTTAAAAATTACATAAACAGGAAACAGCACCAAGGAGATATCATATGTAGTGTGTAACATTGGTTTCTTACGGACAAAAAGAAAACATTGATTTTTATTAATACTTATGAAAGTCTTTTATATTTATTTATTATGACTTAATACTAAATTTTTAAAAGAAGAGAACCACTGAAGAACTTTCATCACTACATATTGCAGAATCACAGAAATAGTACGCTCGCAAAAAAATTCTAAGATAATATGTAGTCGAAATTTAAAACATATAATGAGCTTTTTTTCACGTCAAACAAAATCAAATTAATTGACAATGACTTTCTTTCTGAGTTTCACTGTAATAAACTCCGAATACGACCTGATTAATCCAACCTACTCCATCTGTTATAATTTAGATGAAATAGTTTGACCCGGCATGGAGTTTAAGGAAAAAAAGAGTTTTAAAACTTGTGGTCTTAAAAACTTAAGGGGTAAAAACTTTATCGGTCCATGAAATTTATGTGGTTATAAAAGCTTATCGTTTAATTACTATAAATACTTAAACACTAAGTTCTACTAATAATTCCTCTCTCTCTNAATCCCACAAGTAGCTCGATTGGTAATCTTTTGATATATGTAAAATACAAATCTAATCAAAGAATACTTTTGATTAATCCACCGACGTAACTGTCTTAGTTAGTTATCTTTCCCGCAATTTAATTTCAATAATTAAACATAGAAACGACGGGAATCGGGACTTTGGGTACTATAAAGTTAACATATTTAACATTTTTTTTATGAATTCATACTTGAATTTCTTAGTTTTGTTATATTATGATTTAGAAGTTTACAAAGTACTTTAGTTATATATATCGTTGGTTTAAAAAAAATTACATTATCAGGTCACCTAAAAAATATATTCAGATAATTGTCCTTATAATGTGAGATTTGTAATCTTGAAAATAAGACAGTTTAAAATAACCTGATGGTATAAAAAATTCTTACACTAACGATATATATAAGATAAACTCGAATTGACATTTTATTATTGATTTTAATAAAATGAGATGTAGGGATTATAGGATGCATAAAAAAGTAAGAAAGAAAAGAAGTCATATGGCCCTTGATTCCTGCATAATTGGGAAATAAGTTTGGCTTTATGCTAAGACCTTTCCACAATAAATAGCTCCTAAGAGGTCCTCGTTTTTGCATCAACAAATAAGAAAACACAATATAACTAATTATCCTTTGAGATAAGCATAGATTAACTAATTATCTTATGTGGTTGAACAGCATGAGATGATACTAGCTAGCTGAAACTAAGAATTTAATAACAGCGACCTAATATTTCTTAGTGTAGAAGGTGTAATATGGCCAAATTTTCATGACATTTGCCATGACATAATATCCATTATAACAAATTTGTGGTTCATGATATTTGCCATGACATAATATCCATTATAACAAATTTGCAGATCATGACATTTGTCATGACATAATATCCATTATTAGGCCAAGGATTTTTTGCTATAAATAGAGGAGTTTTTCCTCATTTGCAAACACACCAATTCAAGAGCTTTTCACTCTTGTCTTTCTTTCTCCTCCTTTATTTCATTATAGAGTATTTTGTAAGAGAGTGAGTGTTGGGAAACACTTGTGTGAACCCTTTCTTTGGAGTGATCTTGTGAGGTTATTCTCTTGGGGTATTTGGGACTAATTAGAGTATTTACTCTAATTTTGTACTCTCTTTTGTACTCTTGTTGGTATAGTAAAATTGCTCATCTCCGCTTGTGGACGTAGGTCACCTTGACCGAACCACGTTAAATTTGTGTCTTCTTTATATTCTTTAATTGCCGTTATTATCAACTTCCATTGTCTTTGTTATTGTCATTATAACGTTGTTTGGCTAAATTCTGCACTATCCGAATTCCCGATCCTATCGGAAGGGATGAAGGCACGTGATGGGGAGAAATGTGCGAAAGGGGTGCCTGTTTGAAAGAAAACAAAATTATATCCAAGAATTATAGGCTGCGATAATATGTCATAATTGAAGTTTACGTAATCTTAAATTTGTTTGCATGAGGTCATTGCCTACGTGGTGTTTCATGACGTTTGCAAATTGTACGTATGTAGAGGGGATGAAGGCACGTGATGGGGAGAAATGTGCGACTTCCCCTTTCTTATGCTAAGACGTTTCCACTATAAATAGCTCCTAAGAGGTCCTCGTTTTTGATCAACAAATAAGAAAACACAGTATTAACTAATTAACCTTGAGATAAGCATTAAAAAAACTCAATGGCAGGGAAGGTTGAGAAAGTGCTTGCAGTACTGATGCTTGCAATGCTTCTGTTTTCGGAGCATTTCATGGCTGCTAATCATGAAATTAAAACAACTGAAGATAACTCTATTAGCCCTTTCTGCTTAATAAAATGTTTATATGGATGCAGGGGGTTGCCACCTGCAAAAGCAGCCATTTGTGCAGCTCAATGTTTGTTTAAGTGCGCTGTCCAAGATGAGGCCAATATAGCTGAAACTAAGGGCATAATAGGTGAGACTGCATACAACCAGTATGATGTTGGATGTGCCCTTGGCTACTGCTCTGAGTTCCTGTTGAATTATGGTATATATCTCTCTCCCTCTCTTGAATTACATTACCAATCATATATATAGAGATCGATTATTTAATTGTGTCTTTAGCATGCATCTTCATGTGCGGTGAACTCGAGCCTAGCTAGTTTATTTCTTTGGTATGATGTTGAAGTAATGTGTTATAATATCATCTAAAAGATTAATTAAGTTGTTAGAAAGCACACAATCTTTACGGGCTTTATATCTTTGTTATTTAAAATTAATAGTAGCATAAAAGGGTGCAATCAAAAATAGCCAGATTTATAGGTCGTAATTGAAAAATAGTCACAGTTTCAAAAGTAATAGAAATTTAGTTACTTTTCATGTAAAGATAAATTTGAACGAAAACATTATTCAAAATCCAAAAAATATTCCAGCATAATATACCGAAGTTCGAATTTTTTACATATGAACTTCCAGCATAATACTGGAACTCCATCATAATATACTGGAGTTCCAGCATAATATGTTGGAAGTTCATACAAAGGTGCCCCAATCGACAATATATTGAAACTTTCTGTGTGCTGGAGTTCCAGTATAATATGCTGGAAATTCATACACAAGTGCACCAATCTCCAGTATATTATGCTGGAACTTTCCGTGTTTCAGCAAAATAGTGGCTATTTTTCAATGACTTTGCAAACACTGACTATATTTCGGTCCGAAAACTGACTAGCCCGTGCTATTTTTACCTAATATGCCTCTCTTCATCTGTTTTATTTATCTGTTAATGATGCAGATGAGAGGAGGTTCAACTGCTGCATGGAATACTGTCGCGAGGGCAAAATGACCTGTCCTGTTGAGGCTGCACCTTGAAGAAATGGTTGCCCTAAAATTATCGCCTCATCAAATGGAAGTACACTGCTTTTTCTACTTCCGGTGTTTAGTAGTAGTAGTAAATAAGTGAGGCATGTTACGTACTCTTATGTTTTGTAATAATTATGCTTTTTAATAATGTAATCTGTCTGTGTGCATACAATGCACACGACGCTAGCTACTACTTTTTATCTACTAAAAACGAAAAGTAACTTATTTCTGATCGCTGAATACTTATGCTCGGAAAGCCAGCATTCTCTAGTTAGAAACTAGAATTGTGTTACCAATTAATCATATATATTTAAACTGTTACATAGATCGATTATTTAATTATGTCTTAAGCATGCTTCTTCGTGTGATGCTCTGATTTCTTTAGCATGCTTCTTCGTGTGCTGTGTTATCAATATTCTAGAATTTTTATCATATGGGTGCACTAATGAGTAGGAATTGATCTCTGCTCCTCTAGATAAATAATTCAGTATTCACCTAAGTGCACCAATATTTAGCTTCTTTGGAGCATAGGTGTCACGATCCAAAATTTCACCACAGTCGTCGTGATGACACTTAGTCTCTAAGATTAAGTAAGCCGATTATAATTACAATTTCAGTCAAATTTTTTTTAAAATAGAAACCAACTGCGGAAATAATGCACACAACGCTAGCTATTACTGTGTGCTTGTCTGTGTGCTTGCAATGCACACGACGCTAGCTACTACTTTTTATCTACTAAAAACGAAGAGTAACTTATTTTTTCTGATCGCTGGATACTTATGCTCGGTAAGCCAGCATTCTGTAGCTAGAAACTAGAAAAGATGTTAAACTTAATCAACAACTATTCTTCAACCGAAAATTAGCTAGGGCGGGCAATATATGAATCCTTAATATCTAATTTGTTCCATATATTTAGCCTTGTCACATTTCGATAAATTCTCTAACTTAAAAATCTATCTAAATTTTATCTATTGACATTATAAATTCGCCGACAAGATTGATATGATCATCTCTAGCAAATTTTGGACGAGCGTAGATAATTGACATAACCTCATTTAGTTTATATCGGCTTTATGGGTATTTTTCTTTCGTTGTACTTTAATTTATTTTGGCTAAGTTTCACAGATTCTAAGAAATTAAAGGTCTTTCATTACCATTTCTTTCATGTGATTTTTTGAACTACAAGGCTCCTTTTAACACCTCTAACCCGTGGACCATCTAAAAGAAATAAAGAAAAAGTTAGGAAAAAGTTGCAAGTTGGGTTGCTGAAAAAAATTGGCAAGTTGGGCAGCCAAGTCACAAAAACGTATTTCAACCGATGCCAATTTGCAATGCAAACCGCAAAGAATAAATATGATTGGTCTAATTGTAGGCAAGCTTTTTCTATACATAAGAGGCTCTATTTCTCTTTTGAAACACACCAAAAAATAAAGAGAAGCTAAGTAGAAAATAAAGCAGTGAGAATAATCCACAGATTGTTGTCTGTAAGATAAATAGTGAGTGGCAGTATTATTGTAGTGAGATATTTTAAATAAAAAATATTATTTCTTTCAAAATTGTAGTAGTCTCTTGACATAACTAAGTTGTAATATTATAGTGGTAATATTGCTCCGCTCAGGTATTGTATTTACCTTGTTAAAAGAGTTGGTGTCACTGTTACTCTCTTGTGTTATTATTATTATTTTCCGTGGATGTTATTTCTGGGCGAAATTTTTATTTTTTTCCCAACAACGTGGTATCAGAGCCATGACAAATAATGGTACGATGTCTTTTCAGTACCCCCGTCTCATAAAATTTAATTATGAGAAATGATGTCTACGTATGAAAGCCATTCTTGACTCTCGGGATGTATGAAAAATCGTAGACAGAGGGTATGCAAAACCCGATAATGAGGAAACTTTGCCTCAAAATGAAAAAGAGGTCTTGGCAAAGACGAGGAAGAAGGATCAACAAGCCCTCACGCTCATCCACCAATGTTTGGATGATGCCATATTTGAGAAAGTGGCAGATGCTACCACCTCAAAGGAAGCTTGGGGGATTTTACAAAATTCTCTTGAAAGAGTTGACAAGGTAAGGAAGGTAAAACTTCAAACTCTAAGGGCTGATTATGAAGTTTTAAAAATGAAAGAATCCGAATGCATTTCGGATTATTGTTCAAAATACTACTAGAAATTCGACAAAAACCGACCAAGGTTGACCGACCAACTTTAGTCGGTCAAAAAACCGACCAAAGTTGGTCGGTTTTTCAAAATATTTTTTTTTAATTTTTTTTTTTTACGAAACCGACCAACTTTGGTCCGTTTTCTTTAGCGCAAAAATGCGAAAAACTATTTTTGAGTCCCGCAAAATTTATGTTTCAAGAAACCAACCAACTTTGGTCGGTTTTTCAATTAATATAAATAAAAATTAATATTAAAAAAACCGACCAAAATTGGTCGGTTAATTCGGCGGTTCATTTAAAAAAATCGACCAACTTTGGTCAGTAATTTTACTTTTTAATAAAAGCGATTGGTCGGTTATTTTTGTGCGAAAATACAATTAAAGAGTATAAATCAAATAAAAGACAGTCTTAAAATAAAATGTACCAATGGTCTAGTGGTAGAATTGTATCCTGCCACAGTACAGACCACGGTTCGATTCCAGATGGTGAATCTTTTTATTACATAATTAAAATACCAACCAACAGTGGTCGGAAAAAATCGACCAACTTTGGTCGGTTTTTTTTTTTGCAATATTTTATTTTTTAAATTTAATTGACCGACCAAAGTTGGTCAGTAACCAACTTTGGTCGGTATTCCTTTCCGACCACAAAAATACCGTCCACAAGTAAATGATCGCGTTTTGGTCGATTTTTGGCCATTACCGACCAACGTTGGTCGGTTTTTACCGGATTTCTAATAGTGAAAGTGAATGCTATTGTAAATCAACTAAGAAGATACGAGGAGGATATAGAAGATGTCCGTGTGGTAGAAAAGATCCTTCGCACTTTAACACCTAAATTTGCTTTTGTGGTGTGTGCTATTGAGGAGTCTAAAGATTTAGACTCTATTATGGTAGAGCAGTTGGAGGGCTCTTTACAGGCTCACGAAAAAAAGAACAAAAGGAGACAAGAAGTGCCATTGGAGCAATTTCTTAAAACTGAGGTATCCTTCAAGGATTATGGAGGTGAAAAGAGCTATCGAGGGAATGGACGGAGACGAGGCCGTAGCGGTCATGGAAGAGGAAGAAGTAACGGTAACAACTTCAACAATGAAGTTAAAATCCACCAGACATTCAAAACTCGTGGTCGTGGACATAGAGGAGGAAGAGGACGTGGCTACTACCAAGAAAATAATGGACAAAGGTATGACAAATAAAAAATTGAGTGTTATAATTGTCATAAATTTGGCCATTACTCTTGGGAATGTCGTAGCAATATTGAAGAAAAAACTAACCTTGTTGATGACAAGAAAGAAGAATATAAGTCAACATTGTTGATAGCACTCAAGGAAGAAGACATGGATGATTGCAGCTCGTGGTATTTGGACAATGGAGCAAGCAATCATATGTGAGGATGCAAAGAGAAATTTGTGGAGATCAATAACACGGTGAGAGGTAATGTGTCCTTTGGATATGCCTCAAAGATTCAAATTGAAGGGATAGGTACGATTCTGATATCTTGTAAAGATGGTAGTCACAAGCTAATTCAAGATGTTTATTATGTGCCAAAATTAAAAAGTAATATTTTGAGTTTGGGTCAACTTCTTGAAAAGGAATATGACATCTACCTGAAAAATATGCATCTTTGGTTTAGAGATTCAAGTGGAATTCTAATTGCTAAAGTACATATGACAAAGAATAGATTATTTTCTCTGAATCTTAATACAATTAATGCAAAGTGTTTGAAGGCTAATGTGCAAGATGAATCATGGTGTTGGCACATGCGATTTGGGCACTTGAATTTTGAAGCGCTCAAATCAATGGGAATAGAGAACATGGTGAATGTGATACCATCAATCAACCATCCCAATCAATTGTGTGAAGCTTGTCTTCTTAGAAAATATACAAGGAGGAGTTTTTCAAAGGAGTCCATGTCAACATCAATCAAACCGCTCTAGCTTGTTCACACTGATATATGTGGGCCAATCAATCCACCTTCCTTTGGTAAAAGTAAATACTTTCTACTCTTCATTGATGACTTTAGTATAAAGACTTGGGTTTATTTCTTGAACCAAAAATCTGAAGTTTTTGCTGCTTTTAAAACGTTTAAAGTACTTGTAGAAAAAGAAAGTGGCTATGAAATAAAAGCTTTAAGGTCCGATAGAGGAGGAGAATTCACTTCAAAAAAATTTAATGACTTTTGTCAATTTCATGGAATTCGTCGCCCTCTAACAGTGCCTTATTCACCCCCAACAAAATAGAATTACAGAGAGAAAGAATCGAACGATTAATTCTTAATATGGCTAGATGTATGTTAAAAGCTAAAAGTATGCCCAAGGAATTTTGGGCATAAGTTGTATCTTGTGCAGTTTATTTGAACAACAAGTCTCCAACAAGGAATGTTAGAGATCAAACCCCTCAAGAAGCATGCAGTGGAAGAAAGCCAAGTGTCAAGCACTTGAGAATCTTTGGGAGCATTCCTATGCTCATGTGCCACATCAAGGGAGAGTGAAGCTTGACGATCGAAGTGTCAAGCATGTGTTTGTTGGCTATGATACGAGTTCAAAAGGCTACAAGCTATACAACCCAAGTAGCGGCAAGATGGTGGTGAGTCTTGATGTTGAATTTGATGAAGAATTGGCATGGAATTGAGAAGCTCAGGAAGAAACGTCATATGATTTTCTTCCATACTTTGGCAATGAAGAAGAACCAGAGACCGTGGAACTTGTGCAGGATACAACTTCACCTTCTTCTCCAATCAATGTTGCATCTACTTCTTCTCAACAAAGTTCAAATGAGCAACCGCAAAAGACAAGGAGCATTCAAGAGCTCTATGATGGCACAAAAGAAGTTACTAATTTGGATTTTTTATATTGTCTCTTTGCTGAGAGTGAACCAATAAACTTTTATGAAGCTGTTATAGACAAAAGGTGGAGACAAGCCATGGAGGAGGAGATCGAGTCAATAGAGAAGAACAACACTTGGGAGTTAACAACTCTTCCCAAGGGTCAACGTGCAATTGGAGTAAAATGGGTATACAAGATAAAGAAGAATACTGATGGAGACGTGGAGAGATACAAGGCACGACTTGTGGCTAAAGGCTACAAGCAAAGGTAAGGAATTGACTATGAAGAAGTTTATGCACCTGTTGCCCGCATGGAGACGGTTCATTTGCTGATCTCTTTGGCAGCGCAAATGAA